AGGCCATATAAAGATTTCTGCAGTCGACATACAAGACTAGAGGACTTCCTTTGAGCAACAAAGCAAAAAGGTTGCTCCATGTAGACTTCCTTGAGCAGATCACCATGTAAGAAAGCATTCTTGATATCTAACTGATAGAGAGACCAATGACGTATGACAACAATGGACAAGAATAGTCGCACAGAGGGTAATTTGGCCACGGGAGAGAAAATGTCACCATAATCCAACCCAAAGATTTAACTATAGCCTTTAGCGACGAGATGGGTCTTAAGTCGGTCAACCTTGACCTTATACACCCATCGACAACCAACAATTGACTTCCCTGATGGTAGAGGAACGAGGTCCAAGTTCCATTGTTCTGTAATGCACACATCTTGTCTAGCATAACTTGTTGCCATCTTGGATGGACAAATGCATCACCTGCACTCTTAGAATAGAAACAGAGGACAAAGAAGAAAGGCAAGAATAATAGGAAAGAGAAAGACGATGATAAGTTAAAGAAATATAATGAAGAGAATGATTACGAGTAAAACATATACCTTTTTGAAGGGCAATAAGGATGTCAGGTTCAGAGGGTGGGACCGAAAGATGAGGCAAAAGAGGTGGCTCCAAAGGTGAGTCCATGGTGTTGTTAGTGCTTGGTGGCTGCAATATAGGACGAGTACGATGCTAATAGACCTGCAAAGATGGAGGAGATGGGTGTGGAGGGGATGAAGACTCCTCTGGAGGACAAAAAAGGATTGAAATGGGGGCAGTCGTGGATAGAGCAGACTCGAATGTAGATGTTCTAAGCTCAAAAAATGAAATGGACTCAAAGAAAGTAACATTAGCATAAATGAAATACCTGCGAAGAGTAAGGGAAAAACACTTGTATCCTTTTTGAGATCGTAGGTACCCGAGGAAAACACACTTATAAGACCGAGGAGAGAGCTTGTCAAAGACCCAAAGACCCGAGGTGGTAAAGGATGAAGAGAGTGGTGGGGGTATAGAACTTGATGAGGGATTTTACCTTGTAAAATAGAGGAAGACATGCAGTTAATGAAATAACACGCAGTAAGTACCTATCACCCCGAAACTGTGAGGAACATGAGAGTGGAAAAGAAGAGTCTAGGTGGTCTCAAGTAGATGCCTATTTTTGCGTTCTGCAACTCCATTATGTTGGGGGTATGAGGAGGACAAGATGTTTGATGTAACACACCATGAAATGCCATAAAGGTCTAAAACTGAGTAGACAGATACTCACATGCATTATCACTAAAGTGCGAATAGGGATACCAAATTAGTTTTTTATTTCATAAAAAAAAGATTAAAAAATTGAAAAGATTTCTGAACATTCTTTCATTAAACATAACCAAGTACAACGAGAAAAATCGTCTATAAAAATAACAAAATATCTGAACCCTAATATAGAGGAAATACGACTTAGACCCAAAACATCTGAATGGACTAAAACAAAAGGGGATAAAACCTGACTTATAGTGTGACTAGAAAAAGAATTACGAACATGTTTGCCTAATTGATATATGAGACAAAGACTCTAACTTAAAAAGATTAAGATATAGCTGTTTCAACTTATCAAGACTTGAATGTCCTAATCGAGCATGAACCAAAAGTGGGGATGTTATTGCCGAACCAACATAAGTGGGCTTGTTGAGCTAATAGAGGCCATGAGACTTACATCTAGAGGCCATGAGACTTACATCTGGAGTCAATCGTCCTCCCCATACTCTAGTCTACAAGGAAACAAAATTTTTGGTAAAAAAAATGATACAATCAAGAGACCGAGTACCAATAATATAAATGTTTGTTAATCAATAAATTTTTTTAAATTATCTTTATATAATTATAAGTATTTCTAAAATTTTTTATTCTAAGAGTTATTATTCTCTTCTTATTTTTTAAATATCTTATATGTCTTGGTTTATTTTAAAGAGGCACAACCTCCCCTTCAATTAATCTAATGCCATCAAATTTCTTATTTACTTTAATTAAATGATGAATCATAAAGAAAATATAAATTTTTTTTTATAGTTTACCATTTGAAATCATTATTATTATTTTATTTAACCATATATGATTAAACATAAAAATAATATTTGTTATACATTATATCAAAAAAATAAAAAGAATTATATGTATCATAGAAATCAATTATTTCAATAAATAATATAACATTCGATTAAAACAATAATATTTGATTTATAATTTTGTTTATTGGTTTTATTTCAATTATCTTTATGCTTTTATTTAGACAAACACTCATCTTTTGTTTATTCGTTATGCATAATGTTTATACTAAATATTTTTAATATATTATTATCTTGAATAAATAAAATAAATTTGAATTTATAATTTTTTACTGTATTAATTTACGATTATGATTCATCTCATTTTTTAAATTTCCTTTATGAAAGTACAAATTTAAATTTTATATTCTTAATTGCAACATATATTGTCTAAATTAAAACATATAATTAATTTAATAACTAATATATTTATTTACAACAAAAGTAGTCAATTGCTAAATCATTTTTAATATTCAAGTGAACATGTTAGCAACTGAATTTGTATTCTACATTTGTAATCGAAATAACATATCATTAATTGGCTTGCAAAAATAGTTAAAAAAGACTGAGCACTCAATTTAGTGACTAAAATTATGTATTTTACATTATTTCACACGGTTGCTAAATTATGTTTAACATTTAAGAAACTAAATTAGTAACTGAATTTATATTTTATTTGTGCAATTGAAAAATATGATCATTAAAATGTTGTAAAATAATTTAATGACTACATTTCTAATTGAATTATATTTTACATTTGCAACCAAAATAAAAATAAAATGGAGAGAGTTTTTTCGCACAGTTTGTTAAATAAAAAAAAAAACTTGTAATTTTTTAAAAGTTAACTTTTCTAATGCCATATAACAAAATTTTTAACTTTTAAAATCTAACTATTAATATTTCTATCACAATTTTATCCTTTATTGACAACTTACATTTTTCTTGATTAAAACTTTAGTCCTATTGTCTTTTTGTTCTTTTCACTTCATGATAATGAGGGGTGGACTTTGGTTGAATTTAGTTCAAAAATTTCAAAATCGAAGCAAATCAATTTTTAAGTGACCTATTTCTTTTTAAGACACCAATTGAATTGGGCAGGTCTCTATTAAGATGGTGAGTGGATTGAGTGAGTGAATTTAAATAATTTTACTAAAGCACAACTTGAATGTTCTTTGTACCTTAGATTTTGAGAAGCAAATGCATCTTTTCAACTAAAAGACAATAGAAGAAAGTAGGCTTAGGAACCATAGATATAACATTGAGGAGTCAAATCAAATTCTAGCACTTACATGAAATTTGGGACATTAGCTATTGGTATTCTATCTTAACATGAGTACTAGCATCTTGCTAACGTTCGCTCTTTAGCTTTTCTTTAGCTTTAGAGGAGAGTAACTTAACTACAAACTTCAATAAAGTAAAAGAAAGGTCGAAAATGTTCAATTAAGCAAAATAGTTGCGAAGTTTCATTCAAAATTTGAATATGCTTTTAGATTGGACAAAGTTTGAATATGCTTTTAGATTGAAACTTTGGTACAAAATGATCGGAGAGAGATAAGACATGAAGAAACTTCAACTAAAATCTTATTAGAATCGACTCTCACTCATCAATCCACTCTCTAATTTAATCTACTAATAGTTTTTTGCTCTCTTTCACCTAAGTCATTCTTATGCTCTCTTTCTTTTATCCACATGTTCTTTTCATTTACTTTTTCAACTCTTCTAACTATTCAACATAGATATGTTGTCTCACGTAAAATATTTTATTTTATTGTTATGTTAATTTGATAGATAATAAATAATGATATTGTCACAATTAAATATAAGAGTAATGTAATTTTCAGTTGAGATCAAATATAAAAGAATTTAAATTTAAAAATGTATTTAAATTTAAATTAGTGATTAAAAAATACTTAAATTATTTTATTATTATATTGATTTGATAGATAATAAATAATGATATTATGAAAGTTAAATATAAGAGTAATGTAATTTTTAGTTGAGATCAAATATAAAAGAATTTAAATTTAAAAATACTTTAAATTTAAATTAGTAATTAAAAAAAATACTTATATCTAATTATAAAGAGAAACATCAAAGTAACATTATTAAAAATTACAATAACAAGATATTAGTAGCATTAAATATAATATTTTTAATAAGTCTTTTTTTATTTTAAATTTCTCATCAATATTATTAGCAAAATCACTCCCCTTAATATACTCATTACAATTTGGTGAGATGATTGTGATTATGCTTGGTTTCTATGTTGGTCTGGCTTTACTCTTGCGGCCCATTTGTTTGACAGACTGTCGTATCCATGTTACTTCAACTTCAGGTCTTGCTACCTGTCTTTGAACTGATGCTGCGTTTTTTCTTACAGATTAAAATGCAGCATCTCATGTGATAATATAATTGGTTTCTCAACACTCATGATTATTCGGAATGTTTCATTGTTATTTAAAAAATGCAGTACAGTTTTGTATCACGAAATTTCAATATATTTACATAATATATCGTATTCAAATTCTACCCGATACTCGTGCCACGCAACACATTGGAATTAACTCTATTAAACATCATTCTCTTCTTATCCTTAAAAATACCGATTCTTCAATTTATATATGTTTCTCCTCGTTCCTCACTTTAAACGTAGAGTTCAACAGAAAAAAGAAAAGTTTCACTGTAAGAATTATGTCATCAGAGTCATTTATCTTCAATTTACCCCTCTAGTATATGTTCACAGACTCAGCACATTATGCATAATAATAACAAGCAAGAAAACACTTTTGACAAATCTACAAATTTCCTGCACAAAGTATACCCAACAATAACCTCAATTCAAACACTGGTTCCCCCTACCAAATCATCAGCAAGCAGGAGAAATTATTTAGTCCAAGACTGTCACGTGTGTATAGTGATTGATCATGACCATTCTTAGAGCACGGCCAAAGGAGTGGAACGATCAAAGCTACCCCGAATTTCTCTTGTTCTTCCCACCTTCTTCTTCATCATCATCTTCATCTCCACAGCAGGAACCACCCTACCATGGGACTCCGCCACGTGTCCCAGAGTATCCCTACAAGCCCCACCATGAAGCAGCAGCCTAGTGATCCCAACATAGTGCAGTGACTCAGCGATCTGCAAAGCAGAGACACCCTTGTTCGTCCTGGCCTCAACATCCACACCCTTCTTAACCAAAAGCTCTGCCACGTCCGCATGCCCTGATTCCACTGCACAATGCAACGCAGTGTACCCTTCTTCATCCTTGGCATCCACATCAACCCCTTTCTCTAACAGAGCACGAACCGCATCAATTCTGCCCTTAAAGCACGCTCTATGCAACGCAGTCCACCCATGTTGGTCTCTCCCATTCACAACTGCACCACTCTCAATCAACCTTTGAATGCTTCTCACCTCACCCTTCCTCGCCGCAACGCACAAACTGTCCCCAAAACGCAGCGCATCGAAGATGCCCACGTGTCCATTCTCCGCCGCAACATCATAAGCTGTTTTACCCAACATGTTTCTCACGTCTTTGTTTGCACCCTTTTGGAGCAAAAGCTTGACCATGTTCTCATCCCCGCTTGTTGCTGCTATGTGTAAAGGGGTGTCACCGTCTCTTGAATTACGAATATCCGTTCTTGCAGCGTTTGCTAGCAAGAGTTTAACGCACTCTCTTTTACCTTCTAGAACTGCAAGGTGTAACGCTGTGTTTCCGTCTTTTGTGAGTGAGTCAACTTTAGCACCTTTGAGTAAGATCAACCTGAGAATCTCCACGTGTCCTTCTCTTGCTGCAAGGTGAATTGGTCCTAAAGGGGATGATTCTGTTCGTTCTGTTGTGGCCTTGTGAGCTAAGAGAAGCTCAACTATTAATGCTTCTCCTGAAGAACATGCTGCTTCAAGTGGTGTAGAGCCAGAACGGTTTGTGGCTTCTATGTCCGGTTTGAACTCTAGGAGTAGCTGAACGAGGTCTGGTCTACTTTGTGAAATGGCTAAGTGGAGGAGTGTGTGGCCTTGTGGGTCAACGGAGTCAACGGGTTTCCATGATGGGTCACTGTGTTCGAGCACTTCTCTGATTTCATCCATGGAACCGTGTGAGACTAGTTGGGCAAGAATGAGTGACCCAACGAAGATAACTTTGATGCCACTGTCAATGAACACTTGTTTCTTTTTTGGGGTGAACCAGTCGCTGGGGACAGATTCGAACATAGAGGAAGGTTCTTTGATGGTAGCGCCAGGAACTACTACACTGTGGAGGAGGAAAGAGTCTTCTGAGTGAGGGAAAGAGTGAGGGAGATTGGAGCCTTGTGGGAGGTGGTAAAGGATCTCTATGGTCAGTGTGGCTAAGGGGGATATGATTCCTGATTGGGGTTTCACTGTATAACGGGTTTTGATTAGTGGTTGAAGCCTGAATGCCACTGGCATGGTGTACATAACATTGCGTAGGGTGATTTCACCGTGGCATTTTTGGCCTGGTTCAACTCTTATTGGGACTGTGTTTGATGGGTCTACTCTTATGAGCCTGTCCATGTTTGATGGCACTTTGATCAATGTTTTATGAAAGATTAATTGTTGGTGGGTTTTCAAGGAAAATTAAGGATAACCCATGACGGGGAAGAGAAACCGAAGGAAATTAAAGTGACGAAGAAGGTTTGTTTATTTGGGGGCAGTGTTTTAGTTTTATGGAAGGGGTAATGAAAGAAATGGTATTAGGGGCCGGCTACCTTTATTAAGAACATGCCAAGTGGTGCTGTAAAAAACAATGGTGACTTGTTCCATTCGGTGTCTTAATTGAGTGCCTAAGTAAAGCACAGTTGTGTAAGTTAAAAGAATGGTAACCAATCCTTGTCTTCTTTGAGCGCATCACTTTCTGTGTAAAGGCCAATTTGTTGTTTAATGAGACTTTTGCCTTTCATTAAGAGTTGCATGCTGATAATATTATTATATGGTATAAATTACACTTTAAGGTTTAATGAAGTATTATTCTATATTTTTTTAACTTAATTTATTGTATATTTCTTTTACTATACAAATTATTCTTAGTTTTTTATGATAATGTGAAAAAAAAAAGAATATCAAGTTAAATTTTGCTAAACTGAAAAAGTATTAACATAATTTACCCTAATATAATATGGCTGTTTGTTGCCTTGAATAAAATTCTAACGATGCTTAGATGCTTTGACTCTTTGCTCTATGGATTCCGAGAAAGTCACGTTTACAAATGCAGTTGTTTATGATACTGGGTTTGGCCGTTTGGAAGAGCACTCTAGTGTCACAAACAAGAAACATGAATTCTATATTGTAAGTCTGAGAGCGCAAGGTAGAGGTTTGGTGGTACATTGGTTTAGTTGGGCAACTATACTGACATCGTTAAATTAATAAATACCGTAACGTTGCTTTCTTCGTCCTAGTATTACAACTTGGGTTTTTGTCTTTTTCGTACTATGGTGGAATTTAGCAGCCTAAAATCTGGTTTGGGATGACCAAATTAAATAGAGTTTTTCTCTGTCTAGCTATCACATTTTTTGCAATTCAAAATTGTGGGCAGTTGTGACCACTCCTCTCCTAATTAACCTTCAATTCTTGACGATGGTTAATTAAGAAAATGTTGATCGGTTCTTTTTCGTAGCTTTCTGGTTCTTAACATGCTGATGCATTATGCTTCAGTTGCCCCTTTAATTTGATGGATAAAGGGCAAATAGTTAACAATTTTCTTCCAAAAAATATTAGGTAAGTTAGTATATTTAGCCGTAAAAGTGTGTACAGAGATCTCAAATTTGATATATTGCAAAAAAATTAGAAAACACGAACGACCAATATATCATACAGCACTTTATACTTGAGTATCAAGCATACTCTCTTTGGGTATCCTACAAAATGATTTTCCCTTCATTCTTTCAAACGGGTTAAGGTCATTTGATATTTTCTTTTTCTGTGCTCTTCCAATGCACATTATGGAGGCTATCAAATTTCAACAAATTATAATGGGGAACCGGCTATTTAGCCAATTAGATAATATATTTTTTCAATATCCATTTCATTGGTATGGAGTGATACTATGTATGTAACTGTTTTGTTTTGATTAGTAGTGTTCGTTTTGACGTATTGTATGGCTTTGTGTGTTACAGAGAATGGAAAATTCTATAATTAAGAAAACGAAGCTTGTATTTTCTTGTCGTGGAAAAGATATGGAATGGAATATTTTGGCGGAGCTAAATTGTCTTGCGAACAAGAGCAAAAATAACGTAAAAAGGAAAAGGGAGAATGACTGAAAACAAAATTAGATGTGTAAATATAATTACTTAAATCAACAACGATAGAAAAAAAAGTCTTATCTCTTGTCACCGATATCAATAAAATTTAACAAAGAAAAAAAAGTGATGAATAATATGTTATTATTTACGTCATATGTGAATTTTTTTCAAATTATAACATTTAAAAAATATAACGTAGAGTAAAATTAATTTAATTATATAAATTTTAGTCTTAAATAATTTTTTATTTAATTTAGTCCTAACAAATTAAACAAGTAAAATTTTTTCTCTTGGTAACCTCCATCAGTTAAAGTTGAGTTGGTTAAAAGATTTAACTTAGTGTTATCACGTGTTTAACACATGGTAGATTTTTATCTTATTTAAAACACATTAGTTGAAAATATTTTAAAATAAATATTTAAAAAATTAATTTTTATAAAAATTGTTAAATTTAAAATTAAAATTTTAAAATTTTTGTTGATTTAGTCTCTAATTAACCTAGTAAAAGATTAATTCATTAACTTTTATTAATTCAGTTAACTAATTAAATTTTTTTTGCACTGTCACACATAAAGTACTCAACATACTTATATTCTAATTAGTATACAATTATTATTAATAATACAAACCTTAAACTCTAATGACCATGTTCAAATTTATATGCGGTCAAATAAGATATGTGGGTGCAAGAATTTCTTGGTTTGAATGTTTTGCAGGTGAGTTATATAAAGAAAAACAGTTTATAGAAAAAGAACAATGACAAAATGATATCATTTAGTTGATGATTACGGTAATGATAGACCGAGGTAGATAATATTGTGCTAATTAGAATAATAGTATATTCATAACAACATTAAATTGAAGTTATGATATAATCAATTTTCAATAATTAACAGAGAAGTTAATAACAAAGATTATTATTTTACTTGCTTAATTTGTTAGGAAATTTATCCTAACAAAAAGACTTTAAGAACTAATTCTATATGTAATAACTTTCATAGACATTAAATATTTATTTTAACTTTTTTCTAAGTTGTTTAAATATTGTATTTTTATTAGGATAAAGCTCTGTCACTTATCTATAACAATAGATAATTAAAAATTTTATCATTTAACTCAGCACTTAATTAATAAAGGTTATGATATGGATATTTTTATTCACTTAATTGGTTAAAAAAATTAATAATTTGTTTAGGGACTAATTTTAAATATAATAAATTTTTTATAAAAAATATTTAAACTTAATTTAAAAAAATTTGTTAAGTTAAATTAGTATTGTTTTCTTTTAACTTAAAAGTCAAAATTGATTTTATTTTTGAACTTTATTTTAATTTATTTGAGTTATCTAATTTTAAAAAATGCTTCAAATAAATATTTTTTTAAATTGTTAATTTTATTAATATTTTTTTCCTTTTCTTGCCGTGTTCATGCAATATTCATCGCCTTCTTTCTAAATTTAGTTTTAACTTTATCCTTTACTTCTTCCTTCCCTTTATCTTCCTCTTTTATCTTTTTTCTTTATCTTCAAAATTCCACGTTACAAGGGTGGAGGTGGTTGTTGTCACCCTAAGATAGCATTGTGACCCTAAGAGGAGAATGACATTGTTCTCAAAGGCACAGAAGGAAGGCTATCACCATTATGAAAGATATCACCAAATTTTCCTAAAGTTCATGTGGCATAAAAGATTTACCATCGTTAGTTCTCCATTGCCATATATGTGTGGCTTTGACAAAACTGTTATTTTGACCTTTTATAGACTCCATAGCCAAACTCTTGAACAAATTTTAGTTAGCCAGTAAGAGAATACATAACAATTATTTTTTAATTAGAACCAACATTTTATTTCAATATTTTTTATTTATTTTAGTTACAAGATAATTAACAAATGTTTGTGAAAAAAGAAGAGATCATAAGATGAAGAGGTGGGGAAAAAGTTAAAACCGAAACTTTAAGGAAGAAGACAATAAATAGACAATGCACGAAAATATAAAAAAGATGATGATGAACATTATATGTGACTGAAAAAGATTAAAAAAAATATATTAATAAAGTAAATGTTTAAACAACACATTTAAAATATTTATGCATGTTGTATAGCATGAGTCTTTTAGTGTTGAAAATTAGTGTGGAAAAGAAAGAAAGACGTTAGCTTTGTTAGAAAATAATTATAGTTTAGGGCATAAAAAAGAATTATATTTTTAGTGAATTTGGTGACAAATGAATTTATCACGAGAAATGGTTTTGGAAGGTACTTTCTTTTTTATCTTAGAAATTGTTTGTTTGTAGGTGAAGCAAATACATGTATATAACTTCCTTAAAATTGAGTCAAGTCATATTTTAAGACTTCTTTTATAAAATTTCTTCTAGATAATGTATTTCACATTTTTTTTTATCTGTAACCTTCTTTTAAGAAAATAAAATATTCTCAACATTTCACACCATTTTATTCTTTAAGTTCAAATTTCTTATTTTTTTAAGAAAATGGAATACTTTCAACACTTCATAAAAAATAGAAAACCATAAGATATTTCTAACTTATAAAAAAAATTATTTATTTTTTATACTAATTTTTTTCTTAAAAAACTTGTTTGAAAGTTTAATCAAACTAAATCTAAATCTAAATCTAACGCTATACTTACCTTTTATAAAAAATTTTTTACCATATTTTAATATATCAAACAGTTGTGTTATATTAGGCTTTAATTCTTCACAATTTGAATCCATTCATTTACTGGTAAGAAAAAAAAAGTAATGTTAAACAAATCTATAATGCAACTATTAATTACGTTGATGTAATATAATTATTTGTAAATGTGGAATGATTCTGAGACAATTAATAAAAAATTATCCATAAAAAAGATTGGACTTCTTATTTTTCTATTCAAAAGCACAAAATTCATATAGTCATTATTCTATAATTACAAAATACAGTGTAAGCCATTATTATTATTTGAAACAACAGTATTGGAATGTAAAATAACTACTATTTTCCCACTGTTTTTCATACCAAACATGTAACTATTTTGACGATGTGGTCAAGGAACCAATTTGCTTGCATCAATTCGCATTCTAGGTGACATTCTTACATCTCATTGAAGTTTATCTTGTCAACTTTTAAACATATTTTAATCAATTGATTTCGTATACCTTTTTATCTTTTTATGCAGAATATAAATATATAATATAAAACATTAAAAACAAGTAGGAGTATACTTGAAATATTTTATACCTACACCAAACAATAAATGTAATATAAATAAACTCAAAAGAACAAAGAAGGATACATCTCCACGCACGCATTTCTTATTCTATCTATCTCCTAGTCACCCAAATTGTTTTCATCAAGTGTAAATTGATTAAATAAAATCAAATTAGCTTTTTCAAAATGAATTTACGTGCCAAAGTGAATACCTTAAAAGTGTCCTCTGTTTAGCCAAGTCATTGTTCACTGTTTAATGCAACTATAGATCACAAAGGTTGGTTAGCGACGTTGTTTGAGGGAGAAATCAGTGGTGAAATTGGGTAGTTTCACAGTCATTGGTCTTGTAGTTGCAATAGGGTGGTTTCATTTTCATGCTCCATTGTGGATTGTTTATTTTGTACCTCTAAGTTCATCTTGTTGTGCTCTATTTGTGAGATTGCCCAGAAAACGAATTCGAGAAAGATGTATTGCCTAGACAATACAAGCAAGGGAGGTGCATGCTAAGAAACAAAACATGAATATGAGGCTAGGGAATAACTTACTTCGGGAAGATAGGATAGTCGCATACATTTTTATAAAAACAAAATTAATCACTAATCTTAATTTTAAATTTTAATCTAATAGTTAATAGTTATTTATTATGTTCCTTCCATGAATTATATGTTTTGTTTTAAAACAGAAGGTTTCCCTAAACTCTAAGCTTCGATTTGCTATTTCCATTAAGTATAATCCAACTCTAATTTTTAAAGTTTCGAGCCATTTTAGTATTCTAATTTTATAATTCTTTACTTTAATTTTTAACTTTACAAAACGTAATTTATTTTCTCAAAACTTTATTTTATACAAAATAACATCATAATAATAAAATATAAAACAAGAACCTTTTTTTTTAATAAAATTAACATGCAAAGCATTATTTTTATGTAAAAAATTTAATTAACTAATACTTAAAATTAAGTACTCTTTCTTCATTTTGTTTATCATCAACCGAATATAATAAAAGGAAGACAGAATGTTAAAACAAGTCTCAAAGACGCATTATTAAAGGAACAGAGCAAAATCGTGACGATTTCCATTTTCACCGTTTAATCAAACAAACAAAAAATTAGCAAGAAAGGGTGTAAAGACTAATAATTTACAACACCGAAACCTAGTTTTCAAACAAGAAGAAATAAAAAAAAAGATACATTTACAATGTAGAGTGAGACATGATAGTAACCAAGATTCAAGGCCAAACAACAAAATCCACACACACCCTCGATTCCAATGGATTTTCCACCACGGAATCTTCAGTTCTCAGGGATTCATTGAGAATAACACGTTCATCTTTCAACGGTTTTCTGACAGCAGCGGCACAAGATGAAGGCAAGGTAGAAGAGGGAGGATATGCTGCTATGAGAGCTGCAGTATCAAACTCATGATTCCGAACGAGTTCCGAAAAGAGAAGTATAAGCGAAGCCATTGGGGTTGTGCGATGAAGAGAAAGATTGAATTTTTATGTTGTGGGATACGATGGATCTGAAATTGATTGATGATCTATGTGAGAAGAAAAATGCGAACGTTAATATATAGAGAAGAATGGAGTGAAGGGGTCACGGATTGAAGTTGGTTTTCTGGTGGAGCCTGTTGTTTATGTGACTCGGATTCAAAGAGGTAAAGCCAAACAAAACAGTGGATCGGTAGCTGTTGCCGCTGATTTTCGCTGTCTCTGTTTTCCTCGTACTTCGGAATTAATCATTTTTATACACAAAAAACATTAATTATATTAGAAAATTTTACGATAAAGTATTATATTTATGTTTTATAAAAATGTATTACATGAAATTAAGTAAATATATTTGAATAGTAGATTCAATATGTTAAAAATTTGATGTAGATTACAAGTAAAAGTGAAGAAAAAGCATTGGAACCGAAAGAAAAAATCTAATGGGCGGTGCTCTGTTATGCTAAAAAGGTGACAGGGCATTGAACCAAAGAAACCGTTAATTTTGATAGCGGTTCTTGTGGGCAAAGGTCAACATTAGTACAGCAAAGCTTATCCCAACAGTAAGACGTTTATTTTCTGGTAGATGTGATGGTTGACGATTAATGTTAATAATTATTACTTTTTAATATTGATTAAAATTTATTAATAATTATAAATTTATATATTTTTTTAAATTAGTTTTTAATATATTAAAAATATACCAATTTACAAATACTTTTATATGATTGAGATTTTTTTCACCACGTTATTCATTTAAATACTTTATTTATCAATTTAAGTTGTAAAATTTATGTTAGAGATTTTTAGGAATTAAATTAAATTTTAAAACTTTTAAAATTTAATTTCTGGTACGGGACACTTCCAAAAATCTGTGATGAAAAGGACTTGTTTGCTGTAATTCCAGAAACACAATTTTGGAGATTATTATTATAGGACGTTTCCAGCGAAGGAACCATTTCCTTGCTAACCTGGTGGATTGGGTCAAGTCCATTTTCTATTAACAATTTTTTTTATAAATCAATTTATAAATTGAGTTCTTAGATGTCACAGATGGAGCTTTTTTGCTGTAAGCATAAATCTGGAACAACTTTTATTATTCCAGAATTTTAATTTTGATAAAAAAATTTAAATATGTTGCGATGTGACTATGAGAGATTATCATCGTTACGTTGAAAAGATTTATTATTATTCTAATAAGGATATTTTTAATATAAATAATAAGGAGAGAAAAAAAAAATTACAAAAAGCAACTTGTATAGCATTTTAGGTTAGACCTCACGGGGATCGTTTACTGCGATCCAAATTGCTTTCATTAAACCTTTTTTTTTAACTGTTGACACCTTATTAATGTTTATATAACACATTAAAAAAATTGGTTGGGAATGATTTGATCTAATTAGATCTGTAATAATTAAAAATTAACTGATCAGTGTCCTCGTAAATAATGTTTACATTTGGGATAAAATGAAAATGATATCTTAAAATCATTATAATGTCAAATCAATCCAATATCAAAATCTTACCAAACGTGATTCGTCCTGCTATAGTCAAGCTTGACTTTAATTATGGTGCAGGAATAAGCAATGGAGTCATAATATCTCGTTATCAGATAATACAAATACTAATAAATTTAAATCATTATTTCCTTTAAGATAATATACAATCAAATACAACCATAGTAGTGGGGTTACAATCCAACCAAAACGTGGACTACAAGCACTCGACTTAATAACTAGAAACACGCATTTTTTTTTCTTTTCTTTTTTTTCACTCACAAATATAGATCACAAGAAAGAAGAAAAAGGTAAAGCATAGCCCCTCACTACCATGATCCATAACCTGCAAAAAATAAAAATGCATGGAAATGTCAGTCATTATTTTAAAAATAGAAGCTATATGAAGCAAAGCATTTTTTTATATCTAGTAATTATTTATTTATCATTAAAATTTTAAAAAAAATTAAACTATAAATATATTTAAATAAAAAAGTACTAAAATTTCCTATTGTCAGCTCAAAAGTCAAAGAAGAGACAATTACAAAATTCTAATTCATCGCCCATGTCCAAAAGAAAAATAATTAAAACCATGGGAAAAAAATTGATAGATAATAATAATTGGAGAAAGCAATAAAAAGTTAACCTTAACATAGATGCAGCATAGTGAAAGATCTAATCACTATCACTGCTGCTGCTGCTATCATGGCCATGCTCATGGCCTTCCTTCTTCTTCTTCTCCTTCTTCTTCTTCTTCTCACCCTCAGCACCTTCACCATGGATCTTGTCCTTGATCTTGTCTACAAAACCCTCTTTGTGCTCTTCACCATGGTGCTCTGGCTTGTGCTCCCCATACCCATGTTGCTCCCCTTTGTGTTCACCATACCCATGTGGTTCTCCTTTGTGTTCACCATACCCATGAGCCTCTCCTTTGTGTTCTCCACTTTGGTGTTCACCCTTGTGCTCCTCTGTCTTGTGCCCTCCCACATGAAGGGTCTCTCCAATCTTGTGCATGATCCCTGACATTGTCTATGATTTTTTTCTCTCTCTCTTTGACTATGTTTTCACTCAAGTTTTGTTTTTGATGTGATCCAAGTGTGGAGGAATGAATGGTATTTATAGGCAGGGAAGTGAGGGATAAAGTGGAAACATTATTCATTATTATATGTATGAAAATTGTTATCCACTGTTTATCATGAAATTACTGGAATGACCATCGGCGTGTTCTTTACGTGTAATCATTATTTATTTATTCTAAAAATGTTTTGGTGCGAAATAGACATAATAAGATTTACGTTTTTAATCTGAAAATTGGATATTTATTAATATTTATATTATTAATTTTTTATTGACTTTTTTTTTAACATTTACCATGCTGTGATCGCATGAATGAAAATAAATTTATCACTTTTTTATTTTAATTAAAAAAATTATTTTAAATATTTTTGTTTAGATAAAATAATTAAATTATTTATATTTTAAAAAATAAAATTATTACTATATTAGATAAAATTATTTTAAAATATGAAATTTAAATTATTAAATTAACTATAATACTAAATAAAAATATGAATGGAACATACAATAATTAAAAAAATAATTATAAATTATCACTAATTTTTTAATTTTAGTCTATTAAAAAATTTTACTAAATTATCAAAATTTTAAAGTTTTTAAAATTTAATATTCGAATAAAAAAATTTAAATAATAAAATTATAATTTTTTTCAAAAAAAAAATTATCTACTTAAAATATTTTATTCAAAGACACTCTTATTTTCTTTTAATAAAATAGAATTGAGTTATGTAACTGAAAGGAAATAAATATCATAAGAATTTCGTTTCTTTGAATAACATTACTACCTAAAGCCATTTTAACGGTGATTCTTATTTAGCTTCCTATGAAAAGTTGAAAGAGTTAGAAGGAAGATGCTATTTTTTTTAATCCAATTATAACATTGTTAACGTTGCTTTTAAATTAGTTGATGTTGAATGTGGTTTTTAATAGATTTATTCATGTTTCATTTTTAGTTTAAATCATGTGTAATTTTAGTTTTTAAATTTTTTTTAATTAATTGTTTTTTAAAGTTAAGCAAATTTAATCATATTAATATAATTTTTTTTTTAAATTCAACTTGCTTTTTACTTAAAAGTTTATGTATTGATTCAATTATTTTTTAAAATCTCATTTTACTGAAAACTTACTAACTAAAACATTTAATTTTACTTAAAATACATAAAAAATTTATTCACAAACCATAATTTTATATCCGACATAATCTTTAAAATTGTATTATTTTAAAAAATTTAAATTATAAATTCTTAAAATTATGTTATAACATATATTTATATAAATTTATTGAAAGTCTTAATACGCAGTAAATTATTAAAAAAATTAATAAATTAAAATAAAGTTTTAAAAAGTGAAAACTTAATAAAAGTTTATAATGAAAAATAATTAAATAATTCAGATCTATTTATATAAAATTTAATTTAATTTAACTTATTTTTATTTTTATATAAAATAAATTAAAGAATTAAAAATATTTTTTTAAAAAAATAAAATAATTTTTTTAAGTATTCTATTTCTTGGTTTTTTATTTAAGAAAATAAAATATAGAAATAATATATTTATTAGGTTCTAGAGATGTGAAATTAAAATATAAATAATCAGTTAATAGACAATGACCTTGGAGAGGCTTCAGGCTTAAAAGCAAACAGGTGTCAAGTGATTAAGGATCAGACGATTGAGTTGTTAAAAACTTGGCATTTGGAAATTGGAACCTAACCGTGTCTTTGTAGGTGTATTACGGAACCTATTGTCTATTCAGTGAAGGGGGTGCTGCATACGAATTGCTTGAATCTATCTATGCTTGTATTTTTTGGTAAAGTTTTGTACATGGAAAGAGGAAAGATAAACAAAAAAAGAGAAAAATGAAAATATAAAAATATAAATGTTGAATAAAAATACTTATATAAAATATTTAAGTTGAGATATGGCCACAAACCATGACAATGTCTGTCCAAAATGTTAGGTCCATTAATTTAATCGAATAATGCTATGTAATGTAAAGATATCACCCTGTATTCTAGATTCTACTTTTCGACTATCCATTTCCATTTTCGTATATATTCTCTTTCCTCATTTCAAAAGTAACGGAAAAGTATAAACCCTGCCATACCTATCGAATCATATCCTCTACCACGCTACTACTCTTCGTCTTAAAGTGACCCGTTAGATTCAAATTTAACGATTTTAAAATTAGAAAAATTAAATTAAATTCGTTCATGTAAAAATAGTTTACTTCAATAAAAATAAATAAATTTTATGATACTATGTAAAATAAAAAAATATTCTATGTTTCATTATACATAAAATAATTATAATTATTAATTTTATATCATTAAATAGTAAAGTTAGTAGTTTATTTTAAAAATTTATTTTTTTATTTTTAAAATATTAAAAAATTAAAACTTTTAATTCAAAGAAAGTATTTAAAGCTAATTTAAAAATACTATAACAAACACCTAAAAACTTTTTTTATTGTATTTATCCGACGTTAAACACTAATGTCATTAACTCTAATGCATTGCTCGAACTTGTTAGATTGCTTTTTTTTTTACAGGACGCGTTTTAACTATAAAAATGATAATTTCAACGGATGTCTTTAAAAATTAAATAATATATATAATAGATAATAAAAATTTATGATTAATCATCAAAATATATAAATATTTTAAAATTCTTAAAGTATTGAAATAATCAGTTATTAATTTAAATGATATAAAATATCATTTCAATTTTATAAATACTGTAGAGAAAGAGAAGTGCCTGTGCAGGAATTTGATTCGTGATAGCTAAAGAGAAGAAGAATAACTAACTCGCAAGATATGGAGACATAATGATGTTGAAATCGATAACTTGCTTTCCTTCCTTTGTCTTCTGTTCCCTCTAATTTTAAAATAAAAAAGTGAAGGAAAAAAGGGTAAGGACAATCCTATTTTTATATGGAAATTTTATCTTTATATTTTTTTTAATTTTTTATTTGATTTAGTTTAAATTTAATTTCAGTCACACACTTAAATATAATGAGTAGGTCTATTACTTGAAGATCTTTTATATATACAAAAATTTAAACTTAAAATCTTACTTCAATAATACTAAATTATTTCCCACTTAAACTAAATTTTATTAATATAATATTTGAAGTACAACTTTTAAATGTATCACATAAGAACATGAATTAGAAAATAAAATATTATATTAAAATACATTAGAAAGTACATTAAAATAGTATTTACCCTATTTTTAATAAATAAATAATTTTTATTATATATTTTTTAATAATTTAAATATCAAATTTACTTGAAAAGAAAAAAGAAAATTGAGGGTACCATTTTGAAAAATTATTTAAAGCAGCGTGGCGCAGAATGAGGAGGAGAGTGGCCCACCGAACATTATGAGTCATAAATAATATATTTTTATTGGTCTGAATAAATGTAATTTTAAAAGAAAGTAGAAATTATTAAAAGAACTCTACATGTGTTGTTGAATCAAACGAAACAAGAAAAAGAAAAAGAAAATCCGATATTTTTTTTGTTACCGACATAAATATTAAGATGGTTGTTGAAATGTAAATATGTTATATAAATATATTTTATTTAGTGGAATTATAAGTATTCGTTTTTCAAATAATAAGTAAAAACTAATTATTCATAAAAATAATAACAAATATTGATAACTTAATTATAATCACGTTACAGCACCGTTATATACCCAGAACTTTATTAAAAGAGACTACTCCGTGGTTTCGTTGATTATCATGACGCGTGGATGGATATAAACTTGCCGACAAGCTGAGAGGCACCACCGACAGTGACAACATAGAAGATAACCACTTTCTTAATATTTGTATTTGATGACTATACTTTTTGTTTTTGTTTTTTTTTTTTAAATAAAACTCTAACAATAAATAAAAATATTAAATATTATTAACGAAAGTATTAGAAAGAACGTAACAGAGGATAAAGGAAATCAATGATTAAAGTGGAAATGAACCTAAAGTTCAGGGATAACTTACTTTGAAAAGAAGAAATTCAATGTTTGCTGAAAATACTTTAAACATTTATGTCATCTCAAATTGAAATTTAATAATGAAAAATTAATATTTTTTTAATCACTTAATCACACAGGTTTTAAATAAATAAATAAAATTACACGATAATATAAGCTCTCTACAACTCCATTTTCAAGTATTGCATTCTTAAGCATAATATCATTCTTAAGTTTCTTCCTTCTTCTTGATTTGCTTTATTTCCATTGCATGCATCGATTTGGGGCAATGAGCAGACCAAAATATTAAAAGCTATGTATTGGGAGGGTCACCGATTATTTAGATACTTTCTTTTATTAGTGATGGGTTGGTATCGTAGAGTGCAGGTTCTTAAATTTAAAATTGTCGACACCCAAACCGACTATTTCAACAACGTACTTGTTATATATATACACGCTAATCGATTATGTTTAATCATACTTGTTAAATTACATGTACTTTAATTATACAATACTAATATTTAATTATTTTAAATGGGTTATATTATTGAAAAATATTAATTAAATTTAAAATATTAAAATATTCTAATTTTAAATTTTATCTCTAATTAATTTTTATAATTTTGATGATATTTTGAACTACAGGGTGAATTTTGAAATGATTTTTATTTCACTAAAAATTATTTTTAAAGTTTCAATATAATTGATAATTATTTTTACATTATAATTTTATTGAGCCTAATTTATTCTATTATTAAGAGTATGTTACATTTTGAATATTTTAATTTTTATATCCTTTGGCACTTTTGACTTACCTTCAACATTTTTATTATTTGTGAATAAATTTTCAGCATTAATTTCTATATTTTTATTTTTTCTTTGTGTTTTTTTTCTCTGTTTTATTTTTTTTATATTATAAAAAGTTTAATTTTTTTAAATCATTACTTTATTTAAGCCAATATTGCTTAATATCCGTTATCTAATTGAGCACAATAAAATATAAATACATACATGATGCATATTTGAATCAATTTTGAAGGACTTATTTATTTTATGTTGAAGAGAAAAAGAGTAATTGTGATAGGTTAACTACAAAAAAGAAAATAGTTAAACTTCATGATATTACTAACATTGATATTTATCAATAATTAGTGTTAGATAGTTAAATATAGAGATGTCAAAGTGGAGCAAACTTAATGAGTCAACTTGCTGAACCCGCTAAAATGGCCAGCCCACTTTAACGCCCCTGGTTAGATGTGAGTCTCATGTAAGCATTTCACTAATAAAAATATTATAGTCCCCTAATACAATGTGCATGTCTTATGGCATGGCCAAACTCGTATTCTAAGACATAGCTAGCAAATTGGTCTCCCAACTCATTCTAATTTTCCCTTTGTCTATATTACATAATATGATATGCTATTATATATATTTTACAACTAACACATGTTGTCAGTTAAGTCAATGTGTAAAACCATCTATAATAATTTTGATGAAGGTGAAAATTTTCATGTTAGTGAAATAAAGACGATTTTAATTCAATTATTCACTAAATGGAATTAGTACTCCAATTACTTTAGGTGATCATTAACTCTAATAATAAAATAATTTAATACCACTGTGAGTGTTAATAACTAATAAGTAACAAAATAGAACATGTTAGATATGATATTATTATATTATTGAGAAAAGAGCAAAATGTATTTTGGAATGACTCTCACTTCAGGAAGAGACACACGTCTATACATGACTTATGATGCATTTTTATCCCTCTAAAACACTTGCAAAAGTGACACATGTACTAAATGTATATGTAACGCATTTTAATTCTCTGTTGTGCAAATATGTTACCTATTTCGGAAATATGTTTATAATTTAATCTAATTTTTAAAAAAATTCATCTATTTAGGTCAACAAAGTGCAAATACTCCTATCATAACTCCTATCATTAGGAAAGAGGAAAGGGAGCAAGGAAGTGCATATTATAGAATCACCTCAAAGAGAGAATACCCAATTACCGTGTCCTTAATGAAAATGGAAAGCCAATACTGGGCCATAATTTTCTGCAGGTTTCACGTCCTTGAACTACCATTTCACTATTTTTTCTTGTCCTCAAGGAAAATACATTGAAATGAAACTGATGCTTGTCCTCAAGGAACTTTGGAACGAGATAAATTATAGAATTGGCCTAAACGGAAGACACATTGAGATTTAAACTAAGCATGGATCTTGAACTTAAACTCTGTTCTCGAATTTTTTTTTATGGAATTTAGGCAATATAGTATCACTTTAAAACTTTTTAGCCATTCCCTTTTTCTTATTTTGGAGTGCTACCTACGCCTTTTATTTTATCTCATTTATTTTTCAGTTATCTCATCCTTGTAAGAGGATGCAATAGAATGCTTTTGTTTCCATCAGAAATCATTATCAAGGACCTTCAATGACGAAAATTGTTCTTTCTCATCACATTCTAATACGTTGTGTAATGACAGGGAGATTTCCATGCTGCTTTAAATTTTGTAGCAGTTATGTGGAGGTCCCAGTAATTTTATATGCCAGAACAATTGATGGGCATTTATACTGTTGTTCAAGTTGCTTGTCAAATGCCAGTTACTAAAGATAGACCAATTCTAATAGAAGTAAAGTGATACCTTTCCAAGCCAAATCGTTGGCATGCATAAAACAAAGTGTGGTAGTGTGTGGTCTAATACTAAGGGTGCCACAAGTAGGAAGATATTGGTTTACTGCAGCAACTTAAAAATGCACCAAAGATATTGCAGCTTTATAATCATAATTGTAGTCATATCCAAGTCTGTTGTGAGGCAAAGGCTACATGTACTAAACTCATATAGTAGACAATCTAATAAGCCAGGGTGAATAAAAACTATTTAGCATCATCAGTTACGGGAACCTCGTCTACTACACGAATAGGGACGATTGGTATTGAGTCCCACCATTCTTTCAAACGTCTATTCCCTGTTCCAGATGACTCTCCTATCTTCAATGTCATTGTGAAGCTTTGCAAAATGAGACCCATAAGGAAGAATTTGAATGGAATTACTGCCAATAAGACTGCCAACCCACTCATTGCCACCATCACTAAATTTGCATGCTGCCATCAGAACAAGGGCTCGTGTTAAAAAAAATCCGTGTGACAAAAATAACTGTAAATTTTAACAACCAGCATTTATAGATAAGGAGGATAGAATGAGCAAAAATAACAAATGTTCTGCCATTCATTGAAAACTTTACTCAGGTTCGTTGAATTAGAAGTGAGACTCATATTTTTTGTGATTTCCGTCAAATTTCAGCTTATAATAAAGAGTATATTTGAAAGAATGTGTTAGACACCAAGTTGCTTCCATTTCTCTAACTGAAAATAGTGCAGAATTGAAGGGGCAAAACACATAAGACATTAGTTCATATTTATCACTTTCAACTAAAGAAATCATACCATACTACCTCAATAAAGAATGACAAATTCTGCAAGTGTAATCGTATTCCAGCCTAGAAGGACAAGAACAATCTCATATACAAAATAAAAGAACAGAAGTTTGATTAATATGGCCTCTGGATGTTACATCTGCTCCTCAGTCTAATTCCTCATAGGTTGTTAACTACGAGAGGAATGCAAAGAATGCACTACTTGGCATGCACTTTTCCACACACACTATAATAAGGTGAATTTCCTATGGGTCCCTAGATAGTTAGTGGTCTCAAGTTTTAGTGGAGCCCACATAAAACTAACCTAATAATAGAAAATGAGTGTGTCAAATAACATGTTAATATTTCTCTTAGTTATCAAGTGCATTATCCACTTGCATACCTGTAAAGGTATATAGTTTTGTAATGAAAGCAAAAGCAAACTAAAATGAATTCAATGCAAAGGACAAGTCCCTTAGTCTGTTCGGCGAGAATCAGTTTATGAAGAAATCATAATTACAAGAGAAACTTTGGCATATTTATTTAAATCACATTCTCACTGCTTGTTAGGTCACAGGTAATATATATCAGAGAGTGCTGATGTTACACGCATAAAAAATTCATACAACAAAATCATGCAGACCATGCAGTTCCACTTCCTTTCGCCCATTTTTAAGAGAGCTGCAGCAGCTGTATCATACAAATTACCACAAGATTCAATGTGTAAACCCCTGGCTCCCTTATATCTAAGTCATTGGAAAAAAAGGATTGATCAATGAACATTTGTTCTATGTGAAACATCATTCTAAAGAGTATTCAAATATGTTAGGACCAATCTTCACCTAGATCTTGATAACAGTGGGAAATAATTTCTTACAAGAAAGTACCTTATCAGCCTTTGAAATAAGTATTGACCATATCTTTAGCATTGCTATGTTTGCTATCTGCATCATCTCATGAACAGTGTACAATCCATGCTGGGCTGAGACGATGCTCTCCATCGTTGACTGGTCAGAAGCCATACTGGATCTACTGATTACTATTTCATTGCATTTCTCGTTAATCTTTTTCTGTCTTGCCTCAATCATCTTTATTATCATCCAAATCAAGAAAGCTGCAAATGCCTTGCCAACCCATTCCCTGCATTGTCTACACGAAGTTATATACTATCGGTTCCAGCACAATTCACTCATGGTCATGGAAATTTTAAGCATTGGACGCAATTTGACAGGTATGCATATAAGCAAAAGAAAGTGCAAAAAAAAAAAAAAAAAAAAAACAACTTACATATATGTGATCAGCAGGGATGCAGCAAGAACAGCAAGAGTAAATATTGGCCTTTCCCAGTTGAAGATTTCTTGAAACCAAGGGACCACATTTTTAAGTGGCTTTAGTAGTTCCTATACAATAAAATCAACAAAAAATGGTTTAGTCTCAACTCCAAACATGCCATGCTTTCTTTCCATTTTAGGACAATCCAAAATCTAATTCTCAAATGAAGGATTAACTAAAAAACATCTTAAAGCACTTCTCAGGCATACCATAACCTACGACATCAATTATTCTATCAAGTTGTTGACTGAGAACATCCCATTGCCCAGAGTATAAAAGATGTATAGAAAGGTATAACAGTGTACTTTCTGATACAAGGAAACCACTTCATTTTGTACAATCATGTGCCACATATAACTGACCAAAAGAGAACAGAAATTGAGGGAACTTGAGTTTTGTTTAGGTTCAATCCTTACCGTTAAAACCAAAACACTGTCAGTGACTCCTTCCTCCTTTAATTCTTCAGTGGTAGCTTCAGCAATGAGAAAGTCCTTTTCTTCCTCCCTAGATTGTTTGATAGCAGTCTCCAATGAGGGACTATCATCTACAACATTAACACTTCCATCTTCTTGACTTGCTTCTTCTATTATTACATCAGAAACTATAGTCTTAGAAATGTTCATACTCCTAAGGATAGAACTTGCACTACATTTCTGTTCACTATTGACCTTTTTGAGGCTACCAGCAAGCTCTTCTAGCACAAAGTCTCCCTTTGGTATCTCATTATATAAGGAAAATATTAAGAATTTTGTTGGGACAGGAGGTGAAATTCTTAGCATTTCTCTTGCTGCATGCAACCTTATTATTCCCAATATTGTCCTTGTATGCATCTCCCATGTTTGTATTGGGCATTTTATCTTGTGCCTCGATAAAAATTGGTGGAGAAACATTATTTCCTTTACTAGTGCAAGCCAATGATCACGTCTTGTGGAACTTGTAAGCTCTGGAAACTCCAGTACAATTGTCTCTGATCTAGAAAATTGAGAAGAAAATTTTATTCATATTAGCAACAGAAGTGAAGATTAGATATATTTCTATATATTTGATTTACATTGAGGTGGTACCAATAACATTAAATCAGAATTAAGATATGACTACATCGAAGCCATGAAAAACAATAGCATTCAAGATGTTAGAGAACGGGATATTGATTGCCCCAATTCATTAGTTTTTAGTTCAGATCATTTTGGTACACGTCAAATATAGAATTCCTCCAAGTCTACGATCCTTCAGGAATTGAGTTCATTTAAAAGATCGTGGTGGTAGAAATTTGCAGCTTGAGTTTTGAGTTTCAGTCAGAATTAAGGATTTTGTTGCTGAAATTTTAGAAGCCAAGTCATTCTATAAACAACAGGTGCAGATATATTCTGTGCATATTTAATCCCTATCTGATAATTTAATATGCATTTTTAACATAACTCCAGAATAGGCATTGATAATGACAAAAACTGCTATGCTAGCATTCTTACAAATCAGTAGAATCATAGACTATGGCTTTGTCATAAAGTTGAGCTCCCCATGGACCTGTTGCAGCAGGTTTAACACTCTGCTCAACATTCTTGGAGAGGTCTATTTTGAGAGCATCCTCATACTTTATTACTCCAGAAGCCTCAAAGTAAAGAGAGTAATTGGTCAGTGTAAGCCTACCTGGCAATTAAAACCAAAACATCATTTAAACTTTTATATGAATGCATTAATAAAATTACTGATCAGCTACCCCAAATTACTGACCAGGCCAACTTGTTGATCCAATGTGGCGAACTACTCTCTGACTGCTGGCTGTTCCATCTACATGTAATATATATTCATCATCAGCCAGTTCCACACCATTTGGTGTTGCCTGTTTCTGCAAATGTCTTATGCACCTATGGGATCATGAATTCATAAATAAAGGATGAAAAATAAGATTTCTATTACATATGAATTTTGATTTATATCAAGAGGCATGCTCTGGTTCCAGTATTAAAGTAAACCCCACCTAAGAGGCTGAACATTTAAATGTCAAATTTCTTGAAGAATCCTACCTTCAATAGACTACAAACTTCAAACTATTGTTTAGTTTACCGTACAGTCATTACGAAGTTCTATATCAGTTCAGAGTTTTATGGGTATATTATTATAGTGGCAAATGATTGGTTTTATATCTCTAAAGCATGGATAATGCATAAGTTAATTATACCTTGCTGAATTTAAAATTTTATTAGAAAACTAAAGATGGTAATGAGGATTGAATTCCTAAATGTTGAGAACCCAATTCTCTTAAAAGCTAAAATTATTTGTTAAATATACATGGTTGGTTTTATAAACCTAACAATATTAAGTTGCCTAATCAAGTTATGTTATTATCTTTCTATTTTATATATTTTATTCCACCTTAAAACTAGTGTAGACCCTTATGCTTTGATAGCATTGTAGATCTCCAGACAACTTGGAGAATTTGTATCCTGCATATTTTATATGTTCATGTAGCAAAAAAGCCAAGATATCCATCATATTCTAAATCAGAGACATTGTCAAACAGCATTCCAAAAGCATGCAAATGGACCAGAAAAATATCTTTCATCAGGATCAATGCATTACTTGTTTATTTCTTTTAAGAACATGTCGTATGCTGGAAAATGTAGTCGGAGACCTGTTGGTGCTGTTAGAGTTTCGAAAGTAAACCTTCCATTTGCTACATCAGCAACTAATGGTACTAATGATCCCAGCCATACAAATGCATCTTCTCCAACATTGGGCTCATCATTAACCTGGCAAGATAGTTTAAGAAATTAGGATTAGGAAACAAAATGTACAAAGAGTGACCAGGTACAGTTGAAAATATCTAGCTCTTAAATCACAAATATTCCTTGTGCTTATAAACATCAAACATCCATTTTAAAGAGAATATTCGAGGACTAATTCACTGTCTCACATTAGGAAGACAAGACCTACGGAAGGCTGCAATTCAAACTTAAGAAAACGGAGTGGGAATGGGGCTTATAAACCCATCATCTGTATTCTGTAATAACATAAAAAAAAATTAGGTGAAAAGATGCTCTTACAAGGAGGGGCATGATGTCTGAATAAAAAAGAGGGATATCATCCAGTTCTTGATTGGCATTCACAGTTATCTTCCTTTCTTCTTTCTCCTTTGCTACATGCTCCTGCAAACATCAAAAAGCCTCATCTGATTAATGACAAGAAAAGACACAAAAAGCTTTAGATAAAATTTTATTTAGATATAAAGGTGAAAATGCTGAAGTTCAGATCAAGCAGGACCAGATCCTTCTTTGCACCTTTTCTTACCCATAATTTCAAACCATGCAGTCTTGCATGGTCTATTTCAGATTCTAAATATAATTTCATTTATCTTTTGGCAACAGAATTTGTTTGATAAGTCGCAGCAGATGCTTTAACTGATTGCCAATTAAACTTCATTATGTCTGAAGAATAAGACCATGGTCAATTACTGCAAGATAATCTGGACGTCTAATAGATTTGCCAGAGGCTCATAGACCTTAATCTTTTGATTTTGAGAAGGATTCTACAACGGTTATTGAGGAATGAAGCAGCAACAAATCATTGCAGTACAACATCCAATTTTTTCTATTGCTTTTGCCACCATAAATTTGAAAACGGGAGAAAGAAAAGAATGGTACTCATATCCACGCATATTACCTAGCCCTGATAAAATGCTTCCTTGGACGTTCCCAGCAACAACACTAACAAAAAAAATTCCTCATTGCACTTTTAATGCAGTTGTGACACTTATGAACTATATCAATATCAGTTTATCACAAGAAAATTAGATTCACATATTTTACCATGATCTTGATATTCATCAAATATCACCAGCATTCCTTGTAAAGAAAAAACAATGGTGTGTATGTATGTGTGTGTGTGTGAGAGAGAGAGAGAGAGAGAGAGAGAGAATATGCACACCGAGGGCTCTTCTTCATCATAGTAGCTAGGTCTCTCCCACGCAAGCATCATGTCATATGTCAACCTGCTAAACGAGCCATCATTGATGTTTTCCTCTATGTTGTGGCACATATTACTCAGAACCTTCCCACTGCAAAATTCAACTAATTTTCTGCAGTAGTTTCCCGTATCAGGGTTCCATTCTCCTTCAAAATCTTCCACCAATCTCTCTACCCAAGTCTCCAGTTTCCTATGTCATAAATAAAAGTACACTTCTGGTATTTAAACAAGTGAAAATTGACATCGTATGTAATACCATATATAATTATTTCTATCTTTTACTTTCTTATTTTTTTAATACACAAACATTAACACATACCAAATATATACTCAAAAAATAAAGGGGACAATTCACCCAAAAGTTGTTCAAAACACATTTTTGCAATCAGGCAAAGTTTAATACTATAGTTAATCAATATGTTTGCATGTCATGATCAGTTCCAACCAACATATGCATAGAACTAAACCATCACGGAGAAAATTTAAAAACAAGAAAATTAAAATAATAGCTACTTTCTCAAAAGAAATTAACACTAAACATCTGTGTCGTGTTATGATTCAAGTTCTAACAACGTTGTATAAAATTATTGTGATATATTATTACGTAGTCACGTATGTTAGCAATGTACGAGGTTAATAGGAGACAGAGATTACTGTGCACATCTCTGGATGACATCCTCGGCAGTGGAGGATAGATACTTGAGCTTCGTCGCCATAACCGTATGTACGTCGCGGTTTCTTTCTCTCTTTTCACAAACACACACAGACTAACGAGGCACCACCGAAACGAAATGGATGTAATAGTAATAGTAATAGAAGAGAGGGTGATACGTGGAAGGCTCGGTAGTCGCCACGTGGTAACGTGCATGCAATGCAATCGTGCAACACTTGGTTCCTCCGGTGCTTCATCATCCATCTGCATTCTACGTAGCGGCACAAGCCTCGTTTTCTTTCGTTAGAATTTTCCGGTACCACACAGAAATTCCACCATCTTTATCTGGCTTTCGCTGCCTTAGAATTGACAATTTTTGGCAAAAAAACTAAACTTTTATTAAAAAAAAATATTTATTAGGTCGAGAATTAATGATATATATATATATATAGTATTTAAACTTAATTACAATTTTTTAATTTAAAAATTATGCGTAATTTTGGTCTTTGAATTTTTTTAACTAAATAAATTTATTTAATTGTAAAATTAAGTAAATTTAACTTTTATTATTTTTATCTCAAATTCAAAAATTATTTTATATTTAGTAAAAATGTATAAATTAAATTACCTTTTACTAAAATGTATCTAATCAAAATATCAAATTACAATTGAAAAAGAAAAAAAAAAACTTTCCATCAATGATTTCATTTATTTATTAATTGAATTATATCCGTATCTATATTTATATTTATGTATGATAGACAATGTTCTAATACCACTGTTTCTACACTTCATTTTTATATGTCAATATCTCCTCCATAAATAGTTTCTTTTTGTTAATGTCTAGTGAAATCAAAGACACTTCTCCCACCTCTCATGCTTTTTAATATATTAATATATTTTTTGTAACATATAAATGTTCAAATATTTGTATATTATTAAGAGATTTTGTTGGTAACATTATAATATTATTTAAATTACAAATAGGAAATTTTCATATCTCTTCGTTAAGCATTAAAATATATATAATAAATATTTGCAACTAAAATAAAATAAAAAATATTAAAATGAAACTTATATTATGTAAAACAAGTTTTTTTTAATTACAAAAAGAAATCAATAATATTCTTTTTTAGTAATAGAAAAAAGTAACATTAAAAGAATCTTATAAGAGAAACTTTAGGCAAATTTATTTAAATAATGTTATTTTAAAAATAAATTTTTAAATTAGAGTTTTTTTTTAAACATATTCCCTATCTAGTGTGAATTTTGCATGTCTGATAGATTTTGATTTTATTTTTTAATACTTTATCGGTAACCTCCAACCAATACTCTCTTAAAGTTGAACACACGTCGAAATCATAAGTGTATCGTCCATCCTCAAATAATAGACAAGTCGTTGGTCAAAGAGCATCAACTCTATCGGTTGTCAACTAGCGATACACGTGGATGAATGACATATGTCAAATGCATAGATATATTGGCCAGTCTTGAACGATTGCTGTTTCACTGGTCAAAATGCGTCAGAGCTATTGGGCTATAGAGTGCGATACAAGTGGGGAATTGACAAGTCCCAATAACGGCTAGTTATTAATTGAATGCATTGAAAAATCTATGTAATTGCGGTGATATATATATGAGTTTTATTGCCATTTTATTGCACTCTTCGCATTTTGCCTTACGTTCCCGACGAAAGAAATATTTTTGGAGAGTCCAAATTAATTAGTTTTTTTTCAGTGATTATGTTTATTTATTTGTTATGAGTTTTGATTATTTTTTGTTTAGATAAAATTTTATATTTGTTATTTTTATGGAAATAATTTATTTTTTTACTTAGTAGTTAAAATAAAATCGTATAGTGTGATAGAAATTTTATTATTAGAGAAAATAATCTATATAAACAATATTAAGATTTTATTTCAATATGATTGTAGTATCTTATTGTGTATTAATAATTTAAATTTTTGTATATGTTATTGAAAAAATTAAAAAACTGTAAGAACAAATGTAAAAATGATGTAAAATAATATAACAAAGGTAATAAAATTAATTTTAAAATAAATTGTTATAAAAAATATGCCTAATTTGAGTAAAAATTTATAATATTTATAAAATAAAATTTGGCATATAAAGTTATGTTTAATAAAATTTATTATAAACTGTTGTGATAGGTTACATTATTTTTTATGCAAAAAGTTTAAACAATTTAATGTTTAATTTATGTTGATATTTAAATTGTTAATTTTGACTGATTAATTTATTGTATGTGAATTTAATTTGTTAATATAGAATGACTGATTTTGTGATAATAATATATTAGAATGGTTAAATATTCTCAAGTAAAGAAGGTGTTATCTTTGAAGAAAATAATAAAATGACTAAAATTGAATGTGGAATTTGTTTTGAGACACTGAAAGGAAAGATTCATAAAAAATTAAAGTTGTCTACTAACCAGGTTATATCTAGATTAATTTAATGATTTTTAGTAGACCTAATTGGTAGATTGGATATATTTGATGGTGAAGATATTAATTGTATGTTAAGTGTTTTTTTACAACAAAATCAGAGGAATGCAATTGAAGTATATGTAGATATTGCATCCTGTGAAAGTTCTTGTATTCGATCAAAAGGTGTGGACTTAAATGTTTCATTTTTACATGACATTACAAGTGATGATGATTGTAACATCCTTATTTTTATTCAACTTAATAATAATATAATTTCAGAAAATATGAAAAATTAGTTAAATTTATTACCAATCGAATATAATAAGTGAAATCATAACATATTATGTGATTTTTGCTCAAACGTATATGAACTTTGAATGTCAAAGCAATAATAAAACAAAATTTGAAGAGGAAACATTAAAATAACATGAACATATATTATTGTCATAATATACAAGATGTTAACATTTACAAAATATTCATTAAAATACATTAAAGTACATTAGGACTCTTTTCCAATATTTACAAAATATAATAAATCCTAATAAGCAGTCTATCCATTACACGACCAAGAGACACTAGTCATCCCCGTGCCATTCCTCAATCATCGTGATATCCTCGGAGTCGAGATCATTGTTTGATCCGAGATACAAATCACCCAAGTTTGCGGTAACTTGGGTACCAGTAATCCGCTCAAATGTCCATCGAGATGGTCTTCCAAGATGTTCATGATCATGGTATGTAAACAGATAGGTCAAGGCAGCTGGAGTCCTCACAGTGTCAGGAAATATATATACACAAAGAGTGTGATGGATTCTACTTACAGGAAAATCAAAAGGAACATTATAAGCTAATTCCATTTTCATCATAATAATATCTCTAGGCACATCATTAACATGTACAACAATCTTAAAGTAACATATACTCTGATACTCATTAAATACATAATTAAGTCTATTTATTACAGAACTATCTACATGCCTAATTCTCTCTCCGGGTGTTGTCATCCTGGTTCCCTGAAATGTTTATGTAAGGATGAGTCTCTATTCATATTACCAAGCATACATCATAAATAAATCAATGATACAATTAAAGAAATCACACAATCATCATATACCATGATCATTAATTACCCAACTTATCCTAATTAGGTCACTTGTTACTTTAAACTTTCATTTCTCTTTTTCACTACCCTTGGGATCTCTCGAGGTCTTTCTTAACATAGATAGTTGCTGGATAGCCACAGTTACACGAATACAACGTGTGCCAACTCGGCTCCTTTTAGCAAAAACATGGTCAGGAGTATTAATCAGGAAATAAGTGTGAGGCTTGTGATGCTTCTACTCTCATTTGTCTTACACAATTCAAGAGGAGCATCTACCACCCTCATTTCCTCAAGACTTTTCAATCTTCTTCATCTTCCACACTCCAGTGTACCTCTGAACTATCCATACTTGTCCTTATTATATTCCTTTCTCTTTCCATATTTCTATCTCATCTCTCTTTATTTTACTCTAGTTTATTATTACATCATACATCACTCATTCATTGTCGATAGCTAGTTCCCTCAGACTCAGTCCACCATATACATGCATATATATTCAAAATACAGATCACACCCATCATCAACACCACAAAACATACTTCAAACATAATAAAACATATTACAAATATAACAAAAACATATTATCATCCAGTACATACTCAAATCAAACATTTTATCACAACATTTTCATAAAACAAACACAACAGTTCTTAGTAATAAAATAGAGCTCTCCTACCTTAGAAAACTAGTTTTGGTGATGAGAAAGCAAGAGAAGCTTGGTTCACGAACCAAGGTAGTTCTACAACTTATAAAAAAGAGATTCTTTGAGAAAAGAGGAAACGAAGAAAATAGAAGTGAAAATGAGAGGTTTGAGCTCTAAGATACTCACCGACGATTCTGTAGAGTCAAAATTTGAGCTCGAATTCGGTGAAATTTTAGAGTTTCTAAGGCTTTTATCTGTAATATGGAAGAGAGAGTTCAGAGAAAATGATAGAAGAACGTAGGTTTTGAAAGTGAAATGAATTTCTATGCTGAAAATCTCTTAAATACCTCTCAATCCCGCGCGCTTTCGCTTAAGCGAGAAACATCTCACTTGAGCAACGGATCCCTCGCTTAAGTGAGATATGTAGATAATGATTTTTCCAATGTTTTTCTGATATGTTCGCTTAAGCGAGCTCCATCTCGCATGAGCGAGATAGCGACCAGAGAGGGAGATTTTTCTCTTGTGAGTCCTCGCCTGAGCGACATAGCTCGCTTGGGCGAGATCTTCATCTCGCCTGAGTGAGGTGACAGTTAGGCAGATTCAATTCTATTTCGCTTGAGTAAGAATCATCTCGCTTGAGCGAGATTACTCTGAAATAAGATACTTCTGGATGCTCAGTCTCGCTTGAGCGAGAGTTCCTGCACTTACCTCTTCTAATATCTTCATAATACACTCTTAACACATCACAATACTATTTAATATAAAATGAAATATAATTTTCTAAATAATGAAAAGAGGGTGTTACAATGATGAACCTCAATTTGGATTAGGTATAGTGATTTTTTTGGTTTGATGAAAAACGATATTAA